TCAGGTATCCTCAGTATATCTAAATAGAGTCAATCACCTGGTTTTGTTCATTACCTTTCAGAGCCAAGCAAATCGTCAACAGTAGACCCCACATCGCCATCCTTCCTGCAAAATAACAATCAAGAATATCTAGAGACACCAAGTCCGGCCTCCAGAGAGCTTCATCTTTCAGCGTATGTGGCAGATGAACAAATATTTATTTAACATTAATTTGTTCTTGTAATTAATAAGACAATTTTGTTTTTATCAGGCCTGGCCCCTCTTTAAAATCAAACTCTACTTTATCAGCCTTTCCTGACCCTTCTGGTAGTCCTCCACAAAAACAGTATTTTGTAGATGAAACATGCCAAATAGATAGGTTCAAACAACAGGATCCCTTACCAAGTAAGTAAAACTGAGGAACACTGAAAGAAATAGTGTGTGATTATTTTTGTCGTACTTTATAGGATTTATTTATTATTCATATCTTTGAGTCTGATTTTTTCCTAATTGTATATACTAATAGCAGATGCAAATGGTGAATGTGTTATTTTGCAGCCAGGATAACTCTGTTGAGAAATAGAATAGTGATAATAACATGCTACAGATGGGAAGGATTCAGGGGGAAACTCTTCCCTAATTTGAATTATTTGGTGTTATTTTTAACTGTAGAAATAAATATCTACAGGTTTACAGATCGTTCCTATTAGATTGGGTAAAGGAAAGGCACACTCAGGCTTAGGCAACAACAGCTCTTTATTGTAACAGAACAACTATGCACAATCCAGCAAGGATCAGTCTGACAGCAGCCCTTTTATAGGGAGCTGTCAGACCCTTTGACCAATGAGATTGAATCTCTGTTCCTACCGGAACAGAGGACCTTGGTGGAAACCATTATAACAGTTGCTAATATCTAACACCCCTCTCCTCTTAGATGGAATCAACTGACTTGTGACGTAGTTACGCAGGTAGGCGGGCTTTTTGGTGGCTCTGCCCGACCTGTGCAGTTCAGTCAGAGGGTGTTCTTCGGACATGTCGGACGGACCTGTTGGCTCTGCAGCTTCACCTGGTGGAAGCTCCTAGAACCTTTCACAGGCCGTAGCTGGAGCTTCTGGAGCCGATTCGCTCAGAGCTCACTGCGGGCCTACAACACAACCAGATAAGTGCCCCGGTGTCTTCGGGCTTGAGCTGTCTGTAGAAGGAGTGACTTCTTGCTCCTTTTGGGTAGGGCTTTAGCTAACTCTTGCAGGAGTTACCTCTGGTTGTCTAAGAGAGGAGTTGGAGAGGCAGCCATTGCTGCGTCCTCCCCGACGCAGCTGACAGCCGAAGCCAGAGCTGGAAGAAGATCTGATTGGCTCTGGCGCGGCTGCCGGGTGGTGGGAGAATTGCCGTCCTCTGATTGGTTCCAAGTATAAATAGCTGTCAGGTGGGCATTGTTCTTGTTCTTGTTCTGAAGTGTTAGCTGTTGAAAATAAAGCCTGTTTTGAAGAACCCTCTCCTCTGTGCCTGAGTACTTAAAACTGGCAACGAGGATGAGTGACACAGACCCCATCCACATCCCCACCATTGCTGCCACCTCTGTCTTTGCGGTGTTCCGTCCTGAGGCGGAATCGTGGGATGCGGTCTTCTTGCAGGCTCACGATCTCATGGACTTGTCTGAGGGGAGGAAGAGAGGCATCTTCCTCCACTACTGCGGCCCTGAGATGTTCGCCACTGCGCGGGCTCTGTTTGCTCCTACGCCCATGCATACCTTGCCTTTGGACCTGTTGATGGCCAGGCTCAAGCTACACTACGAGCCTACACCTTCGCGTTACGCCCGCCGTCAGTTTTTCAGACAGTGCATCCAGGCTGAGAGCCAATCCATCAACCAGTATGTGGATTCTCTGAGGGCTGCCACAATCCACTGTGAGTTCGTGGATTTGGATGACGCCCTCTTTGAACAGTTCATTTATGGCCTCCTTGAAATCAACCTCCACCGCCGCATTCTGTCCCGGGCTGAACTGACCCTGAAGATCATTATGGATGAGGCGTGCGCCTATGAGATGGCCGGGAAGTCCACTCCAGACCTCTGTCGTTTCCCTCTGTCAGCCCTGGCTTCGCTGCCTCACTCATCTGTCCATTGCCAGCTCGGACCTGATGACTCCCGGTCGGAGTTCGATCTCTCTATTGACTGCCTTAAAACTGTGTTCCTCCAGGGTGGTGGTGCCTGCCTCAGCTACGGCAGCCGCCACTTCAGGTCCTCCTGCCGTTTTTGCTCAGCTCTTTGCCGCAAGTGCGGGAAGAAGGGCCACATTGCAGCCGTCTGCTGCTCAACTCCTGTTGACCCTCGCCCTGCCAGGGTGCCTGCTCCTACCAGCCGCCGGCCTGCCTCTGCGCCTTCTGCCGCCCGCCAAGGGTGCTACGCCATTTCTGAACTGGAGGGCCCGCTTCCTGACTGGATGCTTGACTCTGCTTCCTCTTCTTTGGGGGGCCGGGGTAAGATGCATCTCCGTGTCTTCCTTGATGGCCGCCCCTGCTCCATGGAGCGGGACATGGGCTTGGCCCGCTCCATTATGTCCTGGGACACACTTAAGGCCCTGCTGCCACACCTCCATCAGAGCCACCTATCTCCAACTACCTGTCATCTTCGGGACTACCAAGGCAATCCCATTCCCATTGTGAGTTGCGGCACCTTCCTCGTCCAATATGGACGGTTTAAGGGCCTTCTCCCCCTGATCGTTGTCCGCAACCCCCTAGCTTCCCTTTTGGGGCTCAACTGGTTCCGAGCCTTCGGCCTCTCCATTACAGGCATCAATTCCCTACGCCTGGCTTCCTCCCTTGATTCCCTCCTGTCTGAATTTTCCGATGTCTTCGATAATGCCTTGGGTTGTTGTCAGGGCACCCTATCTCCCTAAATTTGGATCCTACAGTGGCGCCCATTCGCCTTAAGGCCAGACGGGTGCCCTTTGTGCTCCTATTTTTCCAGTTACTTCTATTTACATGTTTACATGTTTTCTATTTACATGTTAAAATTCTTATAACCTTCTCTTGTATATAAAAAAGGCTATATTTATTATTTGGCACTTGGTTGGAAACGTTTAATTCTCCCAATGCAAACCTGCTGTCCAGCCAAAAGGGCAGGGCTATTACAATTGAAATGGAAGTGGTATGTTGGTTAAAAAACAGCAGTGCTTCTCCAATTAGAATATTTCATACATGTGTGTGTCTTTTCCCTTGAATGTTCTCATCTCCCTGCCCTCCCACACTAACCTCAGCCAATTTCCTTTTGAGGGATTTTATGAGGTCGCAGAGAGCCAAGTTGTAAGCTGGCTGGGAGGCAGAAGGCTCTTTGATATCAGCTTATGGCTTTCAAAAATGGTGCCCTCAGAATAAGAGGGAAGTGACATTGTGCTTAGCCACAGCATTTTCTCTCAAAAACTGTCTGATTAATCCCCAAGGTAGTGATTTATGCTCCATGGGAGGGTGGCTAAAGGTCAGAGTATAATACAGAAGTGTTCCTCTTCCAGCAGAGAGGAAGGCCCACGCACAGGATGGTTCCAATATGCCTCCCAATCTTGGTAGCAGAAAGCTTCATTGTCATTGCTCTGTCAGTAGGAGGATCAAAATATGAAACATAACGCCATGCATCTCAGCTTCAAGCTAACATTTGAGCTCTTCAGAGCCAAGGATATAAAATACTACAGTTACACAGCTGAAAAAAACAACTGCCATATTCTGTCAAATGCCTGGACCATTTGGGCCAATATATATATTTATGTGGCATAACCTGCTCAAGACACTCCTGCGGAAGGTTTCTTTAGGCAAAGCATGGGCTCATTAGTTGTGTTCCATTAGGGCAATATTCTTTAAATATTTTGCTCTCAGGACCACTTTCCACTTTTAAAAATTATGCAGGACCCCAAGAGCTTTTGTTTGTATGAGTTATATTTGTCAATATTTGCCATATTAAAAATTCATTCATAGAACATTTATTGAATCATGTAAAAACAACGATCTTAAACCATTAGATATTAACATAAAGTATTTTTCATAGAAAACATCACATATTTTTTAAAAATAAAAAAAATACAGTGAGAAGAGTTTAAATTTTTTTAAAGCATCTTCAATATTTTCCCAATAATTTTGGTTTCGCAGACCCTTAAGACCATACTTTAAGAAGCACTATGTTAACAAGTAAAAGAGACAATGATAGGATGGGCTAAAAATTTTGGCTATTTGATTGAGTTAGATAAATGGCAGAAATTATGGGATAGAAATTATAAATTAACAGTGTCCACTGCATACAAAGAAAATCTTTATAAAATGCTTTATAGATGGCATTTTCTGCCATCAAGGTTAGCAAAGATGTTTAAAGATAAATATGCAAAATGTTGGAAATGTCACCTGATACCTGGTTCATACTATCATATGTGGTGGACATGTCAAAAAGCAAAAACATATTGGACAAAAAAAACATACATGGCTGGAAAAAATGATAAAACAACATATAGATTTGAAATCAGAGACATTTTTGTTGGACATTTTACCAGACAAGTATAACAAAGGGAAGGTATATCTGATTTTACATACAGTATATTGACTGCAGCCAGAATAATATTTGCACAACAATGGAAAAGTGAAGAGATCCCAACAGACAAAGATGTGATTAGAAAAATATTAGAATGTGCAGAAATGGATACGCTAACACAATTAAGGAAAAGAAAGAAACTGAATATTTTTTTGACTTGGAACTTATTTTATCAATGGCTAGCTGACAAAAACAGGAGCCAGAAACAGGGAAATATATGGAAGGATCAGTGATATAAGGAAGATATGTTAACTTGGTTAAACAAATAGTATCATTATTATTATTGTTTTTAATATTAATATAATGGATATTAATGCAATGAATATTGTTGTACACACTTCAATTGTCATTTCCTAAAATGATTTGTACCCAGACAACACACTGTTCAATTGAAATTGGAATTTTTGTATGCTGTAAAATAAAATAAAAACTTATTTTTTTAAAAAAAAGCACTATGTTAGAGCTATGCAGTGCTCTCAGGTATGTAGACCCCCCAAATGTAGACCCTCTTGCAGCTACTGAAACCAGTAGCGTTATTTCCCAGGATCATCTGACAGGTAGATGTGCAATTTAAAGAAAAGATTCAATTGAGATTATTTGCAGACTGAGATTGTGTTCATTCCCCTATCTCATCCAAAGCACCTTGCTTGGATAATATCTAAAGCACTTTATAACCTTAATATCCATGTGCCCATCTAGTATGCTAAAAACAAAACTGTGAACAGAAATCCTATAATTAAAACTTGGGATTTCTCTGTGCATTCTTTGTGTGGTTAAAAAAATGAGTGTTTCAAAAATATTGACTAAATTACTTGATAGCATAAACATAGACTGTGGGAGGGGGGAGTCTATGACTTCAACTTTCTCTTGCTATTATTATTTTCTTTTTCAGGAAAAGATGAATCAGTTGAAGAATGGACATTTTACCCAAGCTCTGGTAATCACACTTACCATACAGGGAAAAGATGTTTGTTTTATGGTAGCCACCTCCGAACTAAAGCTACATCTTCTGAGAGGACACTGGAAAAGTCTATAGGGAGGAAGAAAAATGGTATAGCCTCAGAAACCTTCTATTTTTCATTAAATAATCATAATAGTTTAAAGTATGGTTGTAATTCCAAGCATTAGAATTAACTTTTCAACTATCCATATATGGGTTTTTCCACAGTGGTGAAATTAAAAATGTTTTACTACCTGTGGTAGTAAAGCCACGCCCGGTTCTGTGGGCGTGGCTTGGTGGGCACAGCAGGGGAAGGATGCTGCAAAATCTCCATTCCCACCCCACTCTGGGCCCAGCCAGAGGTGGTATTTACCGGTTCTCCGAACTACTCAAAATATCTGCTGCTGGTTCTCCAGAACCTGGCAGAACCTGCTGAATTTCACCTCTGGTTTTCCATGGTGAAAAGTAATTGGTAGGATACAAGATATGGCATACTGCAGAAGCACTGATGCAAACCTTTGGACTAATAAGATTGACTTCTTTTTTGCAAACAAGCATCAAATTGTTATTAAAAAACTATGAGGCTAATGAACTTCATTCTGAATTATTGATGACATGTTTCATTATTATTTAGCCAAAAGAAGAAATATATTTTCAATTAAAGTCATGTGTTATAATATACACAAATATACTACTTTGTAAAATAACATCTTGCTAAATATAAATACAACCAAATTGTTCAAATGTCAGAAAATATGCCTGCAGCCAGATTGCCATCTTAACGTCTACTTTTGTTTTTAATACCAGTAAATGAAACTTCCTCCCGAAATGGCATTCCGATGAGGATGCTGGGTGACCACCCATTTGCTGCTCCTGAACAAAGTACAGACTTCCACAAAAAGGGATCAACAGTATCTCCAGTTAATTTTGGGAGGCAAGTTCTTATCTGATAGCTTCTTTTTAAAAAACCAAGTCACTACACTTCCTTTGCTTATGGAGGATGGGAAGCAGTAGAGGCCAGGTCTTGGCAAGGAGAAAGGGGCAGATAAAGAAGCAGGCCTATAATAATGAAAGTGACATAGGACTCTTCCAATTAATCCAATGAAATATTTGTTGTGATTATTTCTAGTTCTGTTCCTTTACTATGAAATATATTCATCATAGCTGACATTACTGTACTTGAAGAGTGTCTCCTACTGATGTGGAGCATATCTGCGACATTTTGGAAGTTCTTTGTGTATATGTGAATGTTCCCAAGAGTGCCAGAATTGAATGCAAGCAGGGATTGATCAAGCAGTTTTCATAATTATAACAGTAAGATGATTATTTATACAAAGTGCATTATAAAGATAAGCATAGCAGAGCTGCAGTGGCACAGTGGTTAGAGCAGTGTTTTTCAACCACTGTGCCGCGGCACACTAGTGTGCCGTGACATAGTGTAAGGTGTGCCGTGGGAAAATTACTTTATATATAGTCAATATAGGCACAGAGTTAAATTTTTTTAACATTTTCTAATGGTGGTGTGCCTCGTGATTTTTTTCATGAAAAAAGTGTGCCTTTGCACAAAAAAGGTTGAAAAAGACTGGGTTAGAGTGCAGTACTGCAGGCTACTTTTGCTAACTGCCGACTGCCAACAGTTTGGCAGTTCGAATCCCACCGGCTCAAGGTTGACTCAGCCTTCCATCCTTCAGAGGTCAGTAAAATGAGGACCCAGATAGTTGGGGGCAATATGCTGATTCTGTAAACCGCTTAGAGAGGGCTGTAAAGCACTGTGAAGCAGCATATGTCTAAATGCTATTGCTATATGAATAGATTATCTTTCAGATTACTGTAAATTGTTGAAAATATTTTACAGTTTTGGATAAGCTTTAGTAAGATATCTAATGAGTCAAATGTTTGCATGTTATGTTCCCGAAGCACTTTGACTGATCTTTGACAGTATTATTTTTACATAATAGAATTTCTGCAAGAAAATGAAATATTTGGGTTACTCTGTATCTCAATTCTCTCTCCCGCATGGTGTAATATACTGTGAAGAATATAAATATGAAATATCATGCAGCAGCATATATTATGCAATCATCTGCATGGGCTTTCAATTGGAACTGAGGCAAAAAAACTTTATGCATAACTATAAATAGAAAATGCTAGGCTTTCCAAAGATTAGAAGCAAACTGGAAACTTCACCTTACTGCCAATGCACACAAAAAAGTAGTCCTTACTTTCCTTCAATTAACATCCAATTAGCATGAAATGGGGATTTTATTTTTGTATATCATTGTTCCATGCTTAGGAAATTGCAAACATTCCTAATGCAGGTATTGATTATATACTATAATTAAATTGGGGAGTGGCATAACCCTACCCAAGGACCTCTCTACTCAAAATCTTTTGTTTCTTTTTAATAGCTCTAGATATAAAAAACGGTCAGATACCTTTATTCCTCTCCAGCGCTTGCCAATAACTTCTAGGTATGTATCTCATATCTTAAGCAACATTAATTTTCTTCTGTAGGCTTTTATTGTTTATAATTGTATTCCTTGTTTCTAGAAGATACCTGCTGAATTATTAGTTACAATAGCTGTTGACATTTCCTACAATATAAGGTAAAGGTAAAGGTTCCCCTTGCACATATGTGCTAGTCATTCCCGATTCTAGGGGGCAGTGCTCATCTCCGTTTCAAAGCTGAAGGGCCAGCACTGTTCAAAGACATCTCCGTGGTCATGTGGCTGGCATGACTAAATGCCAAAGGTGCACGTAACACTGTTACCTTCCCACCAAAGGTAGTTCCTATTTTTCTACTTGCGTGTTTACATGCTTTCGAACTGCTAGGTTGGCAGAAGCTGGAACAAGTAACGGGAGCTCACTCGGTTACATGGAGCTAGGGAATCGAACTGACAAACTGCTGACCTTTCTGATCGACAAGCTCAGCTTCTTAGCCACTGAGCCATCGCGTCCCTTTTTTCTACAATACACTGTAATGTAATATATAGCAACATAAACATTATAAAACTTTAGTAGCATCTCTATTTTTTAAACCTTGCTTTGAGTACCTTCTTTGAAGTTTTTTCACAGTAAAGAACTACAAAAGGAAGAAAGTAAATGTGGAACTACCCCATAATATTTACTGGATTTAAAACTGGCTAAATACATATTGTTTTTAATACAGTTCACCCTTGTTTAGTGACCGTTCATTCAATTGCTGTTCTAACTTACTATAACACCAAACCAGTGGTAGTTACAATCCGGCATTGTACTTATAGCTGTTGCACTATCCTGTGGTAACATGATTGCAATTGGTGACCATCTCTGCCAGCTTCCGACAAACAAAATCAATGTGGAAGCTGCTGGAAGTCGGGAATCGTGGTCATGTGAGGTCCTCCCTTAACAACCCATGCAGTTCCTTTGTTTTACTTTCCTGTTTTTAGTTTCATAGAACATAGAGATCATAGAGATGAAGAGACTTTGGAGGTCTTCTAGCCCAACGCACTGCCCAAGGCAGGAGACTTTATACCATCCCAGACAAATGGTTGTTCTTGAAAACCTCCAGCGATGAAGCACCCACCACAACTCCCGGATGCAAGATTGTCCCTACCCTTGCCCCGCCCCATTGTGGCTAAAGCCTCTTCCAAAGTCAGGAAAATGAATCCAGAAAATAGGTAATACTTACAAAGAATTTTGGCTCACAGTGGAAGTTTCAAGATTGCAACTGAATCTGGACACTTCTTAAGCCCCTTATGCTTGGCTATGTAATAAAATGTGTTTTTGAATTTGGAAATCATATAACATGAAAATATGTCTACAGCTTAGTCCAGAATCATCCTGCACAGTTTTTAGGCACAGTTTTTGACAATGTTTGCCATGGCCAGTCTTATTGTTAGGTTGCTACAGGACACAGAACTGCGGCTGTGACCTTTGGGTGCATTCAGATTAATTCCCTCAGTTTCTTAGACCAGTCTCTGAGGTTTCTTTACTAAGCATGTACAGGTATTTATATGTAAATAAAATAAAGAACTAAAATTCATTTTATCATACAGAATATAATTCCACTTTCCGTAAAGCTGCATTCTTCAAGAATATTACAACTGACATAAGCACTTTCTAGACCAGTGTTTCTCTGTTCTAGACAGTGTAAAGTATTTAAGTACATTTAAGGATTATTGATGGAAAGAACTAGCCTAATCAGATTTAAATTGGGCAGGAAGATTTTTTAAAAACCATTTATTCCAAGTTCAGCTTTACTGTATTCTTATTCTTCCATCATGTCACTAGAGGGCAACAGAGTTGGTTATCATCCTTTATACTGCACTCTAAATGAAAATGCAGCCATCTAAATTCCATTGATTTTTGATCCTAATAGTAGCAGCTCCTCCTGCTGCTAATTACTTGAGGAAAATAGTTTTGGGGGAAATATATCTGGAAAGGGGATAATTTTAAAGGTCTTTTTTGGTTTTCCCCCCTTCTAAAGTTTTTCAGTATCCAAGTTGACATACTTTGCTGACAATTGGATTGCTGATCTCTTTTAGCCCCTTCAGGCTGCTGTGGACATAGCCCCTGCCTCTCTGGTCATGGGGCACTGCCCTCTGTAGCCATTTTGACATTTTGGATGGGTTGACACTTGACTTCTCCAAAAGAGCATTTTCTATCGTTCTTGTTAGAACTCATTTTCAGCCTACAAAGTAGACCATACTAAGAAATCAAAGCCATGTAGATTAGGACTATGGGCTATAGGACAGAATCTTGCAAATCTGAACGTGGTTCCCCCTCCCTCACTTTATATTGGTGTGAGTTAAGGGGGGACTTATTGAATATCTTTTCTCAAATTAGTTTCTTGACCCAAACTCAAGTCCCTCTTAACTGATTGTTGCCTTGGTAGCAGCTCTTCCTTCTGTCCTTTGTGGTCATTCCTGTAAGGTGGGTTGTGCTGAGAGAGTGGCTGGCCCGAAGTAACCCAACTGGCTTTCATGGCTAAGATGAGACTAGAACTCAGTTTCTTGCTTTCTAGCCAGCACCTTCAGCACTCCACCAACTGGCCAATTTTTTTTTTTACGATATTCTGAAAATATTCCTGGGCCAGGCACTATTTTTCTAATTGCACTTTGATTATGACTTTTATGAGTCACTGCAATCACTGTTTTGCAGTTCTGGATGAGTGCTATAGTGTGTGTTCTGTGGTTACTGACAGTCATGAGGTCAGAATTGGACTGGTTGTTACTCTCCCCAAGCATTGCTAGGTCTTTGCAGTATTGTAGTAACCTTGCTTGGAGATTACTTATTGCCAATCACTCCTCTTTCATCTCCTCAGCTCTTGGCTACCAAGAGTTCAATAACCTGTTTATGACAAACTCAAGTTTGCAGTACTTTCAGAAATATCTGGATAGATAACAGGCACAGAAGAAGAGTTATGTCAAGTACGATCATCTCCCCACCACCACATTCACCCTTAGTGACAGTCACCTGTCATTCTCAGAATCTAACTAAAGTAAACTCCCCCTCCTCCTCCCATTAAGAAGAGTAACAGGTGATTGTTCTGCTAGCAAATGATGCCTGATGACGGCAATGTTGGAGGTGGGGAACTGGCAGCACAAGTTATGCCAGCAGACTTTTCTGTTGAGTCCATAACCTGAATCAGAAAAATATATCAGCAAAGAACACCTGAGCAGAAAGGGAAAATAACAGAAGGGGATGCAGAAAAAATAAATCCATTTCTCTTCGGTTTATTGCTGATCAGCTGAACAGTGCTGGACGTGGTTTATCCCATGCCTCGCCTTCAGCTCAGAGCGAGACTGACCTTCTACCACCTGCTTACCCTTCTACTACTGTATCTTAATGCAAAAAGGGATTTTCCTCAAGACATGGCCCTTCCCCTCAGTGGATTGGAAGAGACCTACAGCCACAGCCTCCCTGCTCTGTGACTCAGGGATTGGGAGTGTTGCAGATTATGAAATGT